CCCCCCCCCATTGTATCTCTAATCAAGTTATCAGTCATGCTAATGTGAGCCAACCTAAAATAAGGTAAGGTACATCCAAGCCTGAATCCCCTGTTGTATATTTCAGCGACGTTTTTACTTGATGTTGGAGATGAGATGTATGTATGGGAAGGTTGGATGCCAGCAGAAATCACTAAAGATAAACGAGGATCTGCTAAGAGACGTTGGGACAAGGAGAGAAAACTAACGTTACAGACTACTTTATCTTATATTGAAGGTAAATATTTTAATCCTCTTTCCCAGAGGCTCAAAAAACGTACGTGATTTTTCTTCGTCAGAGGGAAGTGAATGCGCGGGAAAAGCCCTGGCCAATCAGGAGACCATATGTGGGAAACTGTTTTGGAAATGTTTCCTAGTCATGTCTCCCAAAAGAAGACAAACCATGAAACATTGCTTCATGTTTCCCGAAGGTGAGGGTGAACCAGGGAACATATTGTTTCCTAGTCATGTTTCCCGAAGGGAAGGCAAACCAGGGAACATTGTTTCCAAGTCATGTTTCTTGAAGGTGGGCAAACCAGGAAACATTGTTCCCTAGTCATGTTTCCCAAAGGAGGGCAGACCAGGAAACATTGCTCCCTAGTCATGTTTCCCATAGGAGGGCAGACCAGGAAACATTGCTCCCTAGTTATGTTTCCCAAACGAGGGCAGACAAGGAAACATTATTTCCTAGCCATGTTTCTCGAAGGTAGGCAAACCAGGAAACATTGTTTCCTAGCCATGTTTTCCAAAGGAGGGCAGACCAGGAGACGTTGTAGGAAACATTGTTTGTGCCACGATGTTTGCTAGTTTGTTTAGGGTTTCAACGTCCTGGAGAAAAACATGTGTGCCCCACTACAAAGTAACATTACTCGTACCTTGCTATTTCCAGCAGCAAACGAACGAATAACGAAAGGAGCTTACGTGGTTCAAGCTGGTTTGGAACCATCATGTTTTACAACTCATTTTCCATTCTGGAACCGAAGACAGAGCATCGCAGAAATACAACGAAAGGTAGTTGTCAAATATAGCTTCAAAAAGTTCGCCTTGTGACGTAGTTTGCGGATAAAGGAAAACCCCGCACAGCCATTTGTCTTGCCTGTTTAGCCACATGATCGTATTTATCCTCAAACTACGTCCACAAGGCAGACTTTTTAAAAAGATCTATTGCTAGGGGTCTCCCAACGGTTTCCAGGAAACCAGGGGTTGAAATGAGCGGGCCTTAAATGCGACCAATTTTTCATCTGGCAACCTGATATTTACCAAAGGTAACCCTCGTGGCCACTGAGTAAAAACTGAAAAACTAAAGTAGTTCTAGAGCTAGCTTTAAATTACCTCAGTGATGAAGTATTTCACTCTGCTTTTGCATATAGTTTGCCAATATATTAAATTAAACAACTGTTTTTATATTATCTACATACAAAGAGAATACTTCATAACATATTGGTATAGGGAGACCTGGTATTAAATTTGGCGACCAGGTAGCTACTGGTATAGCCACTTGGGCGACTGAAAAAATTTCTAAAATTTCAACCCCTGCAAGGCGTATTTTTTAATGGAAACACGGGAACAAAGCCAAAAAGTAATTGGGAACGTGTAAGCTGGGGGAGAAGAAAAGAAATATTTCCAAAAAGAGAAGAAAAGAAATCTTTCCAACAAGAGAAGAAAAGAAATATAAGGGAACACGGGGACACCCCTCCCCGTGGAAGATCTGCATTGTTGACTTTTTTCTTAATTCTATAGGAAGGTAAAAAAGATGGAGAAAAGAAACCGATTGAAAAAGCTCTAGAGGCCCTTACTAAGTGAGTTTCATGTTTTGTTTAATGAAAACTCGTTCCATGCCAGAGGCGGCACACCATCTTAACAATGTTCGATCTGCAAATTATCCGCTATGATTTCAAATTGCAAAATGGCTTTCTGAAAGAACTATTACAACTCTTATAGATAATTGTTAAATCGTTTCAAATTTGTCGAAATGTAACATATATTTGTAGCTTGTTGACATAAAACATATGCACGATATCCCAAGATCTAGTGAAGATACTTTGCATATCAAAATTGTTAAATAGCTTAAGAACAAAGCAAGCTAAGAGAGTCCTATATTCGGTCATTTTGAATTTTCTTTACAATTCGTTAAACTATTTACACGATGTTCATTTTTTTTACAGGAAATTCTACAGTTTCAAGGAACTAACAAGCGATAATCCTCCGGACGGAGTTGATCCATCAAAACTTGAAACTTATTTAACTGATGAGGACTTCGAAGTACGTTATTTTATTCCTTCATGCCTCTTCATTTTAAATCGTAGTATCATTAGCTATTTTAACATGGTAACATTTCCATTGATGAAAATCCGGCTTTGCGGATAGATAACTTTGACAAATAAGTACATCGTGTTTTCGGAAAAAATTATACAACAATTATTGGACGAGTTGAGCAAAATATTGTGATTTGTCAGTGGTGAGCAGATCAATTATTTGCCGAAGGCAGAGGCAAATAATTGATCTACGAGCCACTGACAAATCACGATATTTTGCCTTAAGCGACAAATCACGATATTTTGCCTTAAGCGAGCCACAGACAAATCACGATATTTTGCCTTATTTTGCCTTCAATAAATGTTTTATCATTTACTTATTCATTTACTTATTCATGGCCGTCACGACGTTCAATAAATCTGTACAATAACAATGTCTGAAAATTTAATTGTTGTAGATTATAATTTTATATGCACAATAAATATGGTAAAAATCACAATAACATTGATAAAAACAAAGCGTTTAAAACACACAGGTATTATACAATTACTTTATGGTTTCCGTGTTTGGATGGCCTGATCCAAACACGCGGGAATGTTGCGAGGGTTAAGAAAAGCGAGCGAAATCACGAGCCGAAGGCGAGTGATTTTGCCCGCTTTTCTTAACTCGAGCAACATTCCCAAGTGTTTGGATCATTCCATCCAAACACGGAAACCATAAAGTAATTGTTTTATAAAATAAAAACAACACGATAGCCTTCCGTGTTTGGATGGCCTGATCCAAACACGGGTTTCGACCAATCAGAATACGCGTTATGTACATGTTATTTTATAAAAATTATTAATTAATGATGTCAACGTGAATCTTAAGTGCGCATGCGTATAATCGATATTTTGGAATTGAGCCAATTGGTTTCAAAAGTGCGCATGCTCAGACCATTATTTGCACCCGTTATTTGCAGCTGACGTATTATTCTCACCAGTTATTTGTAGGAAAATTAGCCAATCAACGTTGAGAAAACGAATAAGTAAATGATAATTGTATTTATCGCCATGCATCAATTTTACCACAGATACACACGTGAAAATCTCACATCTTGTGGCAAGTCTGCTAACAAGCCGTCAACAAGTTGTGTTCGCACTGCTTGCCCCAAGCTGTCAACAAGTTTGGAACAAGCTGTGAACAACTTGTAACAAGCTTGATAACCCTATCAGACTTAATGTGGCAAGGTTGTTCTAACAAGTCCGATGCAGTCATGATATAACAATATTGCGGTTACAACCTTGTGTCGTCAACCTTGTAACATTCTTGTTATATCATGACTGTATCAGACTTGTTAGAACAACCTTGTAACAAGTCTGATAAATGCCATCAAGCTTGTTACAAGTTGTTAACAGCTTGTTCCAAACTTGTTATAACAACTGGGAACAAGCAGCGCGAACACAACTTGTCGACAACTTGTGAACAGATTTGTAACAACTTGTTTGCAGACCTGTAACAACTTGTGCGTTTTCATGTGTGTAGCCCAGACTCACAAAACGAGGTCATTGCGGCAAGGAGGCAGTATTAATTAAACAGTACAGACTATTTGCTTTTAAAAGCCTTCTGCTGTAAGTCGTGCCAATTACTAAATATTTTCGGTAATAATAGAAATTAACAACTTAAAACCTCTAAACTGCTAAATGTAACCATGGGTGGGTTGACTACAAAATTTTTGTAGTTCGCTATAACTACAGCTACTTCAAAAATATGTAGTCAGCTACAACTATGCTACTTTTGAACAAAGGTAGTTCGCTACTGACTACAGCTACTGCTTAAAAAATGTAGCGAACTATTTCACTATTTCACTACACTATATTTTTTTAGTTTTACTATATTTGGAGCATCTACTAACTCAGGCTGTAATGCAATCTATAACAAATCGACTTACGAGTAGCAACAGTAAACACAAAGCAACATTGTTGTAAGCACTACAGTGTTCAGGAGTGCAAATTGACTATTGAGTATTGATTTTAAACAAATCGTGTCTCAATATCATATGCTATTCTGTCAAGTTACTAACAATTTTAAAAAGTAGCGAACAGCGATTCGCTGTTTGAAAAGTAGTCAACTACTTGGCTACTTTTAGGCAAAATGTAGTTCGCTATAACTACAACTACTGTTTTAAAAAAGTAGTCAAAAACTACTGGCTACTTAAAAATTGTAGTTCGCTACAGTAGCGAACTACAACTACTTCGCTACAACCCACCCTTGAATGTAACTATTTTTGTTCTTGGCAGGAAAACTTCCAGATGCCACGAGACTTGTTTGGCCTATTCCCCGGATGGAAACAAGATATACTGAAAAAAGCGTTCGGTTTATTTTAAACATCACCCTCACTTGTTTAGCAAGTACCTATACGTGAATGGCCAAGAGCTCTAGGATATTATATTCAACAATTATATAGAGAGTAACTTAGATTGCCGTGTAAAAAAATTGGATATATTATATATAAATTGGCTATATCAAAACATAAACCATAAACTATGTATTTAAATGTTGGAATCTAAAAAAAGTATGTAATAGCGGCTCTTGCCTAATCAGTATACATTTTATGTACATATAGCTTAAAATTCTTAAAATCATTTTGAACAAATCTCTTAGAAGTTTACCAAATGATAATGAATCTTGGTTTTATGTATGTAAAGAGAAACTAAAAACAGTTACTTTTTAGTTTCACGTATATGCAATAAAAAGACATAGTTAATTTTAATAAGTTTAGTTTAGTTATCAATATTTTATGTACTGTTTAATAAACGAGCAGGAGTGTTTTATTAGGTTTAAAGCACGAGCGCGCAGCGCGAGTGTTTTATATCTGATCAAGCACTTCTCGTGTTTTAAATAGTACTTAAAATATATATGAAATGAAAATAATGCGGATAGAAGTATGTATAATAAAGTGGAATGTCACTTTAATGAACAGTCGCAAATAGTCAATATATCATGTATTTATATGTATAATTTAGTTGGTGTACGTAAATTATTTTAATATTTATGGTAATAAAATATATAATTTAAACAAACATTACTAAATAAAATAGTTATAATTGCATCTGGGAGCGTTGCTACCAGATTTTCTGACGATGGAAAGGAATGTAAGATGGACTTTGGCTATTTTTATTCTGTTTTAAGCAATGAAAACATAAACTTAACCCACATCCAACCCCCAACCCTAATCTGCGGTACATCCTAACCAGAACTCAACCACCAATCTGACGTAGCGCCCCCCCCCCCCCCTTGCGAAATTGTGGGTCCTCTTGGAAAAATTCTGACCATGCAGTGCAAAGCGTGTGTGCATTATATTTTCATTTCTAATTGTAATGTAAATTTTATATCTTGCTGTGTCTTAAATGTTCTCGTATGGGTTTGTGATTGATTAGAATTGTTATATATTTATTTATTGCCCCAAAATACGAGGATGGCCATAATATTGGCTACATTCCTGCCAGAATTTGCAGGTTAGTGGGTGACTGATTTCGGAGTTTTGTTTGGGATAAAGACCCAAGATTAGGATTGGGCCATTGGGGGTTGGACCAACCAACCAAACAGACCAACCTGCATCCTCGATTAGCCATTCCGAAGTTGATGAAAAAATTGAAATGAACCAAATAACCAAAATGAGCACCTCGAAATTAGTAATACCCTTCGAATAACAAGCTTTCGAAAATCGCGATATTTACTATGAAATGTATTGTAATTTGTGTTTTTGGGACGCGCGTCCCAAAAACAATTTTTTAATCAGTAATTTCACAATTTTCAAAAGCTTATTATTCGAATGGTATTCATGTAAACGTATTCAAACTTTGTATACTTACTAATTTTGAGATGCTCTTTTTAGTGATTTGGTTCATTTCTTAATTTGGGCACTTTTTACCACTCGTCCCCAGTCCACTCATCAACTTCGGAATGGCTAATTGGCCCGGTTGAGACAACAGCCAACAAGTCATGCCGTATTGTGATGTACAACCATACAAGTTCAATCTGGGTTTAGGGACCGGTCATTATTTATGGCCGAAGGGAAATGTTTTTCTTGGTGAAGATTTTGCTGATCCAACCATTAAAGAGTCAAAAAAGTTTTTACCCAACCTCAAATATCAATAAAAAAACTACCCACCCGGCTAACCAAAAACTTTACAAAAGGATACCATTCAGTTGTCACACATGTCCTTTATATAACTTAATGCAACAGCTGCTTGGGAATGCAGTTTTCTGCAGTGTAAAGTTTCATGTTGTCTGCACATGTGCTTTCTTTCGAGACACCATTTGCCTCCTGATAAATTGGAAAATCAAGATAGAGACCCTGATTGATTGATTCATTTACATATTGTATTGACATATGGCTGTTGACATTTGCTTTCAGTTTGTCTTCAATATTTGAGTGAGTCGTGTTTTGAAAATGACAATAATTCTTGACCTAACTCTTGAGTTGTTTTGTTTATCATTTACCAAACCTCTTTTCTCTTCGGTGCCACGCCCCGCTATAAATAATGAACCGCCACCTTAGATGCTGTGTTTTTCATGCGCCGAACCTAATTCATAATTTTTTTTCAACGTACATTTTTAATATCATATCAGTATATTCGCAATTGTACTTGTATTTTGGCATGGCACACTCAAGCCAACGTCTAAATTCAGTAGTGTCGACCTTGTGCCGTAAATTCGATTAGGACCATAATTTCGGCAAAGGCAATCACTGCCGCCATCTTGGATACTTCAAGACTAACAGTTTTACAAAATATAAATATACACAATATACATATATACACAATGTGTGTTGCCTTTGAGAAATTGAATAAAACATTGAAGTTTAATTATGTTAGGTTTGCAAACAATAGTACAATACTGACTAGCCTCGTTGTGGCAGTGGCGCC